CCGGCTCCCGAAGGGCTCCCGGGGGTGCTCTCCCGTCCCTTGGCCTCGGTGGAGACACAGAGTGGGGCGTTGGGCCTCTCTCAGTGCAGAGGCCATGAGGATTAACCAGAACACTGTGCTGCAAGGAAAGCGGGTGACCCTGGTGCCGTACACTTCTGCACACGTGCCCCGGTACGTGGCTCACGTCTTCCTCCGATACTCTTGCGCGGTCTGATTTCATTTCTCTTTTCAAAGGGAGCGTGGCGTTCAGAAAGGGTGCTGGCTTGACAGCTGCAGGGCCCTCTTCCCCCTGGGAACCTCACAACAGAAAGAGCACTCGTAGAAAAGCAGTCAGTTTTGCCCTCCATGCCCAGCAGCAGACATCCCTGGCAGGTCTGCTGGCAAAGAGAACTTCATCTGTGCCACTGTGGTCCCGTGGAAAGGGAAATACCTGGCTGTGAGTGAACCACCAACGGTTCTCTTGTTCATTGATGTCTTTCTCTAATGGGAAAGTGGAAGAGCAGAACTTCAATGTGTAAAGTCAGATGGATGTTTGATGAATTAGAAGCAGGCATGCAGGCAGTTTGTAAAGTGCTGGCCTGGGCAGCTGCAGCCTCAGCACAAAGATGCCACTATTAGTCTTTCTGTCAGTGTCCAGGAGATGCTGTATCAATCTCAGTCAGGATTAAATGCGCCGGAACTCAATGCTTGGTGCTTTTAAAAACATCAAGTTTGTATTGGGCTGTCTTCAGATGAAGCCACAGGACGGACAAAATTCCTAAATTTCCACAGAGAACACTGATTCCTCTGTTAGATACGGGAGAGAGGCTTGTGGATGCTTTTAAGTTGCCATGAATGCCAGGCTAGCGTTTCTGGAACTGGTTTCTAACAGGCTGATCCTTAGAGTGCTTGTAGCTCAGGCAGTGATCTGGTTCTGGGTCTCACTCTCAGGTACCATGAGTGGATGCAGTCAGAGGAGCTCCAGCGCCTGACCGCCTCTGAACCTCTCAGCCTGGTGCAGGAGTATGAGATGCAGCGCAGCTGGCAGGACGACGCAGACAGTGAGGATCTTAAACATTTTCTAAGGATGGGTGGGAGTGGTGAGCAGGTCCCTCCTGTCCTGTAAAGGGCCCAAAGTGGACTGAGAGCGCCTGATGTGTGGGCTCTACTTGCTGAAGCATAGGAGATGTGAGACCTTCTACAACTGTAGCTTTGAACTGGCTTTCTCTTTATAGCTGGTATATGCTCAGGGAAGTAGAGAATATCTGGGACTGCTGGTGTCTTTTTTATGCAGTTTTTCAAAAATGACAGTGATTTACTTCCCACAGTATTATCTGCTGAGCTGCTGCTGCACAGTCAACACTCCCTGGGTCTGATGATCGTAAAAAGGTGGAAGGGAGTTGTATTTTTCCTTGAGAAATTGAATGACTTTATAATTACCTGGTTGAGGTATGTTGACTGAATTGGTTCCCTGGCTCTCCTCAGGTAATGAATCACTGCCCATAAAAGTCTGGTAGAAATATAGTGAGCTAGAAAATACTGAGGCTGGCAAAGACCTCAGTCTGGAGCATTTGTCTTAGCTGGCGTTAAAAGCCTTACTAAAAGCCGCAATAATATGGACTTGGTGAATCACTAGGGCTCAGTCTCTTGTGCACCAAACAATTCTTTGCCCAGACTTGCTGCTGAGTGAGACAAGGCAAGGAGACCTCAGACATTGGATGGAAGTTTTCATGCTCCTTAAATAAGCTGTTTCTGGCCTTGGTGCCTGCATTACCCTCACAATGGGTTTTTCAAAATATTTCTTAGATTTCTATGGATGGGAGTAGGCACACTTGGTGTAGGAAGCCCAATTATTAGCTCTTCCTCACTGTTAACATGTAGAAACTGTTGTTCCTCTGTCCATTGCATGCCTTTAATTTCATCCTTCAGTAATTTGTGAATAATTCTCAGCATGCCCTGAAAATGCTGCTATGTTTTTGTTTTCCCCAGAGTGCACCTTCATTGTACTGGATGCGGAGCGGTGGTCCGGGCAGGCATGTGCGGATGAGGACTGCATGGTGGGGGACGTGAATCTTTTCCTCACCGACACTGAGGATCCGACTTTGGGCGAGATTGAAATTATGATTGCAGGTCAAGTTCTGCTTCATTGCTTGGACCTTTGTTGCCTTGGCTAAAGCCAGCTGCAGACAGATGTTACATACAGCAGTGTTTTATTCTCATTGCTTTACCATGGCTGTTCAGTTCTGATCAGCATCCTTTGCTGGTCCACGTTACAGTCTATTCTGAAAAGTGTCTGGCATGGCTGGTTTGTCTCACTGGATGCTGACTTCTGTGGCTGTCTCTTTCAGAGCCCAGCTACCGAGGCAGAGGGTTTGGCAAGGAGGCAACTCTGATGATGATGTCCTATGGTAAGGGTGGCTCAGTGCACGGGAACGGGAATACAGTTGGGTTGTGATCTAGAAGCACATATTCCCAGTGATACAGACAGGGTAGTAAGGGATGCATCTGCCCCAGAAATTGCAGTCCTGTGATTTCATAGATGTGGCAGCTGAGCAGGTAATAAAAATGCTTCTCTTTCTGATTTCTTTTGCAGGAGTGAGAAACCTGGGGATCACCAAATTTGAGGCTAAGATTGGTCAGGAAAATGAAGCCAGTATCTGCATGTTCAAAAAGCTTCATTTTAAGGAGGTGCGGTAACAGCCTGTCGTCTACCCAGAGAACGTGAGCAGCGTTTGCCCTGTGACTGAGCTGCTTTTCCTCTATGTGATACAGGTTGCTGTGAACAGCATTTTCCAAGAGGTGACGCTGAGGCTGCATATCTGTGACCAGGAGAGAAGATGGCTCCTGGAAGAGACAAACCACGTGGAGGAGAAGAGCTACCTGGAACTGAAGCTGCCAGCTGGGGTGCTGGAAAGCTGACAGACACATCCAGACACAGGCCTGGTTTCCGGGGAGGAGTTGGACGCTGTTGCGAGGTCTGGGTGTGGAGGACACCAGTGAGCCCACGCTGCACTTGACTGGTTTGATGTCTGCTTTGGTTACTTTGTCATCTTGTCAACTTTGCACCTTGTTGCACAAGCCAGGATTACTGCCTGAAATTTGGACCTGGAGAACAGCCACTAATTCACAGGATTACTAGGAATGACTGTAACCTTAACATGTGGTTCCAGCAGAGGCTAAAATCACCAGCAGTTAATTGATTCCTGGTGCTACCAGTTTCTGGAGAAGCAGCACCACTGTTCCTCTTCCACTGCCCTTAGAGCAGGATTCATCAGTCTGACAGAGGCAGTCTGAGTATGCTGGTAGCTCAGTCTGTTTTCTCCTGAATAAAAAAAATGACAAAGATCTGAGGTGCCTGAGTGTGATCTGGGAGCAGTGGGGTTCAGCTGCTCGCTTTGGCTGCTGAAAGAGTGGTTAGAAGTTGTAAAGGACAGCAGAGACTCTGAACCCTATTTTCTTGGGTGTGGTGTGTTGCAGGGGGCACTGCTGGGTTCTGGAAGTGAGAGGCCCAGGTGTGGGTGAGCACAACCAAAGGGCAAGTTAACATGATGAAAATTATTGATAGCAGCTGACTGAGACGAGAGTGGAGCCTCGCCAGGATCGCTGTGTAACGAGGGTCTGGCAGCTGCGGGAGACTGCTGAGACAAAACCCCTTGAGTTTCAGGGCCATGCTCTGGACCTGGAAAGCTCAGGCCATCAGTGGGATATTGCTCTTCATTTTACCAGGCTGCTTTTATGAAAGCAAGGAGGAGAACATAACTGAAAGGAGACAGAAGAGTGATCTCCTTCTTCAAGGAGCTCAGGGCTTGCCCTGCTGAGCCTGGAGGCTCTGTTTACTGCTCTCCAGTAAGATGAATGGGAGGAAAAATATCTCTTACTGGGAGCAGATACTTAGGCAGGAGCTAGCCAGCTGGCCTCTGCTGTGATGTGGCTGAGATCTGTGGCTGAAGAAGAGGCATTTGCCTGGCTCCCACTGGACAGACTTCTTAATGCAGTTATTTAGCCTGACCTTTCCTGCCCTACGCAGCATGCTCCCCGCAGCAGGGAAGCTTCCTAAGAGGAGAGGACAGAAGGTAAGGCGGATAACTGACGCTCCTGTGTGTTTTCCCACTGTAATAGCACCTGTAACAGCTAATTCTAGCCAGAAGTTATTAGTTCCAATTATGCAGTATCAGGTAATAGCTTTCAGATTTGCCCAGGGACGTTTTTATCAGAGATTGGTATGCTGTGGAATTTTTAGTGTTGCTGTGCCTGTATTTTTAGGGCCTGGGGGTTTTAGTTTTCCAATTTTAGTTAATTTAAATACATCCTTCCTGTGACTAATATTAAAACCAAGCGTGGGAACAGTGTTATCATGGTATTTTAAACAACAAGTATTTAGCATGGATTTAGTTGTAGGGATGTGTGCGGTAATAAAGTGAAGAGCGGCTCTACGTCCAGCTGGGATTACCATGACAAGGGCTGCTAATCCTAGTGCTCTTTGTCACCTGCTGCAGGCAGGAATGGATTCTGTCCCCCAGAACAAGATTTGCAGAACCTGCTGGGTGAACTGCTGGCTCTGTGCTCCTTCCCTGGTGCATTTCATCCCGCTGCCAGAGGACCAAGGTCAGAGATGTAGCAAGGAGAGATCTAGTTGGGCTGGGATTTGCTCCCCTAAAAGTGACCAAGGTGGGAAAAATAATTTCTTTTAACCTCTGCTGCCAGGGCTGAGGGGGGCACAGAGAAACCATGCTGCCCTCCCTAGCCTCGCCACAGCTCCCTGTGCCCAGCTGGTTGCCGGCTATTGCCCCGGTGGGCATCCCCATCCCCCCAGCAACGCCAGCCTGCTCCCCCGCCTCCATTAGCGGCTGGGAAAAGCCTTCGCCCTGGCAACCTGAAACAAAGTTGGGTCTGTCTGGGAGCCATGGCCCTCCCCCAGGCTTCGGATGGGGGTGGTCCTGGTGGGGCTCAGCCGGGGTTCCCACAGGGATCCAGTCCCCAGGCTGCTCTGACCAGGCAAAGAGGCAAAAGATGCTCCTGGGACTGGCTGGGTGCCCCCACTTC